CAGAAGAGCAGCAACGCACTTGGATATGAACGCCAAACTTTGCTTAACATAGTGTAGTAGAACGGACAGAGGTATAATAAATTAGAATAAATTCATATTATGTCTTGTTAGTGAAATGAAATCAGAGGCTCCATATTAGAGAATGTACTAATAAAGAACAATGAGTTGTGATGTTTAACAAGTTAGAGTAAGCTCACACGAAGGAAAGGAAGTCAAGGCTGGTACAAGGAAAGCGGTTTATAAGAAGGGTGTGTATATAGAGGGTGAAGTGTTAAGAATATTAATGACTACATCTTTTATTGTCTAACTTTTTTTCCCTTTTTTTGTTTGTCCGATGCCAGCCACACAATCCTAGTGTAAAAATCCGAGTTAGCATGTTATAGGTTGTTTTAGTAGAATAGCTAATCCAGTGTAATATTGGAAACATGAGTTTGAGTGGTGAGCGTAGGAAAACAATCTATATCACAGATTGATTGACTTATTCTCAATCATGAGGAACCTGATACATACAAAATGTTCTGTCCCCACAAACACGGGTGGTTTGAAGTTATCGCCCTCACCATCAATACTTGCTGGTCAGTAACTTCACCCTCCCTCCTTTTGTGATGTTAGGCTCATTTACGCTTATTTTTGTATATACGTCATACCTCGCACAATCCTCTGTTTCAAAAACTGTTGGAAAGCACTATTTCTATAAGTACCATTTTACAAGCTTATCAGGCAGTTACAAGCTATGGACTGTGGGTAAAGTATCGATGCAGTGTGGACTGAATAGAAGCTTTCGCTTAACAGGCTTCCGTGTCTAGTAGAAGGGGATCACCAAAACCTCTAGGCATGAACCTAGGTATGTTAACAGGAAAAGAGGAAAAAGAAATTGGTAAATCATAGTGTGGTACTATCCTTAATCCTTAGGAATAGATCCAGTTGCCTATCGAAGGACTCCTGGGAAGTCGCTCGGACTAGCTCGGCGGGCAGCGAATTCCAGCATTTGACAACTCCTAAGGAGTAGAAGTTGTGTCTACAATCCGTCCTGCTATGTTGTGTCTCTAGTTTCTGGGTGTTACCCCTTCGGTTAGTGTTGGGACTAAGCTCAAGTCAGTGTTTAAGGGGATTTCCAGAAGTTTTAAGGATACTATAAGCCATTAGAAGGTCACCTCTAAGACGTCTATACTCTCATGGGTAGAGATTAAGTGATTGGAGGCGCTCTTCATAGTGATTTGGTGTATATGTTCGTCATTTTCTTGGGAAACCTACAGACTCGGGTCTTCTCATAAATTATTTTAGCCACCATGAGTTGCCACGGCAGCTGACGGATGAACACGCGACACACATCCTAACCGTCCCTGCGTCTAATCTCATAGCTTCTTATTCAAATGTCATATGATAAGCAAGTAATGCTTCTACCGACACTAATGGAACACGGGTAATTCAAAGGCACCCTGTATGGTACCTTACATTGGTCTACGCACTCACTTAGCTCTTTAGTGAGAATATTACTACAGTCCTGCTAAAAATCCCATGAACCCCCCTACCTCCATCAAAACAAATAAGTCTGTATTTGCTGCATATAGCAATTCTATTTTTCAGAAGTAAGATATAACAGTTGGAATTGGAGTAAAATGGCAGTATACAGCAGATGCACGTAAACATGTCTTCATCGATTAACTGAAATAGAGAATACGGATATTAGCTTAACAGGTTTATTTAGAAAGACTAGTGTCTGCCTTGAACTTACTGCGTGAGAAAGTTATACTGAAACTATGAATAATGTAGGAATTTAGTCTCCCGGGGCGTACGAAGCACTCAAACTGGAAGACAGTTGTCCAAAAATAATTCGAATTTGAAGGTGAAAATTTGCAGGTATATTTCATCATAAGGGTTAACATATTAGGTACCGGCTGACGTCATACCGTAATAATAACAGCGTTGCGAGTGGTGAAATATGACCTATAAAACAGTTAGCTTTATAACAGTTAATTACCTTTATACTTCCTGATCATGACCCTTCGGCTTCCTTTTATGGTCAAAACAGCAAACATACACTACACACTGATAGCATATTTCCGGCTTTTCAATGTTAAGCCTGCTTTAACGCACTACGTAACGAGTACAACCCCTCTATTACTGCTATATGACATATTTTTTATAACAAACCCTCTGCAATTTATTGGTAGTATCTGTGACTTCGTCTATGGTCGTCGGAAGTCTGGGTCCTTTCGAAAACAATATTGATATCCCCTACTGCTGGGCAATCGGTATCAGTTTGACTCGTTGGCGAAATAGTGTTGTCCATAATACTGAAGAAAATTAAAAACCGGAGATTGTTTCCTTTCATTTTGCCGATAACATCATAAAGGACAGTTAGGAACGAACATGCGGACAATTAGTCACAGGCAGCAGTAGCAATTATTTTAGCTAAAAAAAGAACTTCGGCTTTGGATATCCAGTAAACAAGTCAATACAAAACCGATTACCATTTTAAAACATAAGACTAGCCAGCTTGGCTGAAGAAATAAATTGACGTGAGTAGAAGAAGCAAAAACCCAAAAAACAATGCTGATTCGAAGTAAATTTCACACCAACATATAGAACATTACACCAACTGCGGCATTTTAGCACATCGAAACATTAAATTACATAGCTACACAAAAGAAATGGATGAAAGAAGCACAGAACGAAGAAAGCCGACCGCCATTACTTACGAAGATGGCGGATATAATAATTCCCGCCTCATCCTGATTGGTTGCTAAGCTGAAGGGCACATTTACAAAGTTGAGTTGAGTTTAATTGCAGCCGAACGACATAACCAAGTTATGTCATACACTTACGCGTTATCTTAATTTTCGTAATGACCGTCAACGATCACGCACCCCACGTAGAAGCATTTCACGTAAGAGATCTGTCTCTAGACCATGAGAGACGGATAACCCCGATTAGTGCTGGTATCATAACCAGTATGGAAAATCTTCCAGAAATTGCAGAAAACTCTGCAATTTTCCCAACACGAAACCGACTGACTCGAAAAACAACTCGGGAAACTTCCAAGCCGGCACGCGTTAACCGCAACCGTAGCCGGCGAACATAGTCGTCTGTTGTACGTCACAGATGTGACGACGAGAGTTCGCTACCTCGTCGATATTGGCGCAGAAGTTAGCGTTCTCTCAGCAAATTCTGACGACCGACTTCACGAATCGGCTTTAAATTTACAGGCGGCAAACGGTAAACCTATTGCTACGTATGGCAAAAGGTACGTTCACCTGAACGTGGGTTTACGCAAACCCATTCACTGGATCTTCGTTGTTGCAGATGTTTCTATGCCAATCATTGGTATGGACCTTCTACAACACCATAATCTAATCATCGACACGCGCAAACGGAGGCTAGTAGACAGAAACACTAAATTATCCGTTTGCGTAACTTCTTTTTCTGGTTGCAGATTGTCCCCGGTGACAATTAAGCATACGATAGATCCACTTTATCAACCGCTACTCGATAAGTATCCTGGCATTCATCAAACGCAACCGAAACTACTGTGTGTAACCAGCAGCGTTACACATCACATCACGACTACAGGACCACCTGTATTCTCTAAATTACGACGACTAGCCCCTGAAAACGTAAGGTTAGCGAAAAACGAGTTCGACCACATGATAGACTTAGGAATCATGCGACCGTCAAATAGCCCATATGCATCTCCGTCGCACATGGTCCCTAAAAAGGACAGCGACGATTGGCGTCCAACTGGTGACTGTCGGCGACTGAATGCGAAAACCATCCCCGATCGTTACCCGTTGCCTCACACTCGCGATTTGACAGCTACTTTCATGGTACAACTGTCTTTTCGAAAATCGACTTGATTAAAGCGTATAACCAAATCCCTATGGCTACTGACGACATTTCGAAAACCACCATCATTACTCCCTTCGGACTCTATGAATTTTCGCGAATGCCTTTCGGTCTAAGAAACGCTGCTCAAACATTTCAACGATTCATAGACGACGTTTTTCGAGGTCTCAACTTCGTACAAGCGTATGTTGACAACTGCCTAATCGCAAGTCCGGACAGAGAATCACATCTCAAGCATCTGGATCTTGTTTTCGAACGACTGCCAAATCGGAGCTGACTAATTAAACTTCCTTGGACACACTATAGATGCTCAAGGCATTCGACCCCTTAGGACCAAAGTGGCGGCAATTCTGGATTACCCAGAACCGACCACGATCAAGCAACTACAAACGTTTAACGGCCTTGTAAGTTTCTATAAACGATTCATACCTAAATGCGCTTTACTCATGAAGCCTCTTATCGACCAACTTCGTGGAAATGCGAGGTCCATTAATTTAGACTACACCACACGAAAAGCATTCCCCACAATTAAGGAACTCATGGCTAAAGCAACAATGCTTGCACATCAGGACACTCAAGCACTCATTAGTATTGCAGTAGACGCATCCGACTCAGCAAACGGAGGAGTCTTACAACAATGGGTTAACAACTCCTGGCAACCATTGGCATTTTTCTCTAGACGGTTGCTAGACACCGAATCGAGGTACAGCACACTAACAAAGGTTTTAGAGTCCTATGGTCAATACGTAGGGCCTTTGACCACGTTGATGCCAAAACTTTTTTGACTTTGCGTACAGTATCCGTTTGTCCTAAACTAGAGTACTGCATATAGTTGGTTAGCCCATGCATAAAAAGTCAATTAGTTGTTGGAAAACGTTCAAAGAAACGCAAGTAAGTCTATTTCAACGTAGTGAAGCGTGGCATAAAGGGATGTTATAATACTATTATGACCTTCAATCACATGTTGGGAATAGCGTTTATTTGAATAGTGACGGGCAGGGTTTAAACGTTAGGTCCTTTTGAAATGTGCCTGCCCTTTCGTTTCAGCGACCTTGAACGGCTTGATTAGAGGCGGTCATTCCGTATTTCAATTGCCGTGGGTTGGTTGGTTTGCATGAGTATCAATTTTTTTCATATATAAGTCATCCTATGCTACATAAAAAGCACGAAATAAATAGCAAACCATTAATTTAGCGTTCTCTGTTCTGTAGTGTACACTTTGGCTCTGTTGTTGCTTTGTAATTTGATCTTTGATCTCAACAACCGTAGTAAAGCTCAACGAAATGTCAAGTCACAGGTAAATCCTAAGTATTTGTAGTCTTTCCTTTGGTTATTATTGTTGCAAGGAATAACTGTTTAATAATTAGTCATGTCTGTTTTTAGTGCTTCATCCTCAAGTGATATTTCAGTCGACCTAACCGATGCCTTTCGAAGTATGATACTGAACAAGCGTTTCGTGTTGTGGTATGATTTTGAAAGTGCCTTAAAAGAGTTCCAAAAAGTATGGAACTATAATTTTATCGCTTCTCAGACTACTTATACTCGTTACATCCACACAGAAAGCAGATTGCTGAAGGATGTCAGGTTCAGATACCTGTTTGTATCGTTTAATTGTACGTTTGGTCACAAACGGAAATCGGAAGGTTTGAAAGTGAGGCAAAAATCGTAAGATCTTTAACTAATATCTTATGTTTAAGGTCTAAATTCCGTAATTGTCAATCTAAATTCCGTGTAAGACTAGAAGAGCAAGGATATGTCATCAAATCCTACAAGATGATACACAATCATCCATGTAGTAGTTCATGGATGGTATGTGATCCATGGACAAGGAGATTATCGTCGGAAGAAAAAGAGAACTTGAAGCCCGTAATACTTCACTGTGAGTCAGCAGACGAAGTTATCGAAAGTATTAAGGAGAGAACTGGTAAGCAAGTAACTGCTGCCGATGTCAAAGCTATGAAAGCTACACTCTCCACTGGTAAGTGTATATAAATATATTTCAGGTTGTTGTACTCGGAAGCAAGTTATGGATATGCTTAGACAAAAAGGCGAAGTGAGGGAGCATTTAGAAAATGGATATGCGACGAGAATATGTTTCAGTAGTTATAACCAAATACAACTCTATAGGAAATATCCAGAAGTCGTGTGCATTGATTCTACGATATCCCTGCCGTCACATGCTACTTGCCTACGTTAAAAGAAGAAATCTTACAGGTAAGCTATATCAATTATGAAATACTAACTGCATAGCTCATCAACTTCTTAGGTATTGTAGCAGATGGAAGTTACACAATACCCAGAACTTCCAAAATTATACATTACCTGCATTACCACGACGGAGTGAAGTGTATGTAAGTATTCAACGAAGCCAAAGAATCCATAAACATTGCATCATTGAGAAGTATGGTGAACGTTTGCAACGGAAGTTGAGAAGAAAGTGGACAATTATTACTTAAGAATTCTTAATACCAACTTGTAAACTTGATTTTCTGCTTTTGCAGCAATGATTCTTCAATAAACTTTCATAATTTCAATTTTCATCTTATTCCTACTTTTATGGGAATGAATAGCAATGATGTTCATGTGTAACTGTTTGTAATAATTAAGATTAATTAAGAAACCCTACATCCACGTACAGTTTTGCAGATTAGGCACCCACATATCATATTCACCTTCGTGGGATTACGTTTATCATTAAAATCGTATCAGTATCTATGTACATTTTAAGTTCATGTGATTAATTCCGCTTCTGAATCAAAATAAAACCAGGAGAAATGTTGATTAACAGTGGTATGCAATCATTACAACTAAATATGCAATAGGATTTAACAGTGATGTGGGAAACAGTTGACATACCTGAATATGAATAAATGAAATGACGTAGGTTATCAATAGTGACTATATATATATATATATATATATATATATATATATATATGCAGTGTAAGGTCAAAGGTCATTTGCTTTTACAGTCAATATCACATTAAGAATGGGTGATATAATAGTTGACTGCAGTTCACAGACAGATAAGTGGTGTGAAATTCTTATAGCTTGTAAATGATCCGTGGATTTAAGAACTGAAAACTTGAGTTACGTCATAATTGATTACAATTTGCAGAGGTCACGTAATTACAGAGGATTAAGTGACAGGGTGATGGAAAAAATGCGTAACTAAATTTTAAAAGTGAAATGAATTATTACATAATCCTTCTTATTACTTGTTCATTCCATGGATTATAAGGAGTTCATATTATTCTCTATCTATATTTGTTCTAGCGTCATATCGACTATTAATAAATACTGACACGGTTTATAACGTAAGACACTAAGTGTAGTTGCTATATTTATATTTCACTAATTCATTTGTTGAATAAAAATGATTTTAATATGGTCTTCCATAATCACAAATTCTATAAGTTGTAGACCGGCGTAAACATCATCACAAAGCTTTGACGACTTCATTTGATTCATACAATTCTGAAAAACAAACAAATCAGTCGTGAAATAAAGAATTAGACCTAGTTATCAATATCACATTTAATAAGTCAATCAAATAGCAGGTTACAGAATGTACTTATAAGTCTCTTATTTGCAGACAGCGCTAATCATTAGAGATTTCTATTTCCTATAATAAAAATTAATAGGTAATCTTTACAACACACAAATCAGTGTTATTTAAAAATTGCTGAAATCAGGTTCGTCACAACATAGAAGCGTGGTCGGATTTATGAATAAAATGTAATTCAATAATGTGGCATAAAGGCGATATGAATACAAGGAACTTGTGATTCTGCTTCCATTGCTCATTCACTTTTCGTCACGTTGTCTGCATGAATTACTTTGGACGAGTCAGTCTGTAATGCAGTAGGAATTCATGAAATAACTCATTAATAGTTGTTTTTTGATTTAAGTTTGTGTCTTAACAAGCAATGGAAATTTCTTCAGTGTCTAACCCTTGTAGTATTTCGTCTATATATCTGGTATTAGCAGGAGAAATTGGTAAGCACCATTTAGATATTACTCGACAATATGCATCATAACTTTGTTCACATTTTCTTCTGCGATTGTGCATTTCCTTTACAGAGAATTATTCGTCAACCCTCTAACAGACACATCATAAGTCAGTATTAAGTAAGACATGGTTTAGTCACCATGCTCAGAAGAGACACACATCGATTTACTTATGAAGATTTCGTGCATATTTAATGTGGTGTTACACACTATTTCTGTATAAGTTCAGAAAACCGGTAAAAAAGACTATCAACGTCTATTGTTACTCACATAATTTTTCTCTGATACCTTACACAGTAATATGTCACTTCAGTACAAAACAATGCTACCTATAGTCCAAATAACCTTTTATGGCTAAATACAAACAATTTATATAATATTCATAGTTACTTTAACGCTTACTTCTTTCTAATTACATTTTATAAACGACTACCAACATCTGTGTTTGCCGTCACCATAATCAAGGAGGTGAACCATATATAATTCTTTTTACGGCTTATTTTCATGAAAACTCAATCTGTAATCTATTTTTGACTAGAAAAATGGTGATTTGACTTCTTTGACTTAGTATTGTTAAAATAAACCATATTACGCCAGCTACATATTTACTTAGGTGGTGAGCACGAAATACGTCAAACTGCTTATAAATTGAAACAAAAACTATCTTCCAATCACAAAGATTATGAAAAGTCATGTATGACGGAAAAAAGGCTGTTAATAGCTGATAAATAACGACACATAAAATCCACGACAATACGTTACACGTGCGCGAAAACCCGTAAACTAACAAGCATACTGTGCCATAGTGACGGTAACGTGAGTTTCGATTAACCCGCCGATTATATCCGTTTTACAAACGGTACAGAGAAACAACGTATATGGAATATAAATATGATTACACATAAAGCGTCACAGATAACGAAAAAATTGTGGTTGTTATTTTGTCGTTACAAAAACCATCGGGTGTACATGTACATGACTGTCTAATAGTAACACACCTACGTAAAGCAAATGATGGGGGGGGGATAGCGCGGGATTTTGCCAAGGTTCCGTTTGTTTCTTGAATTTCCAACCACTTTGATGCAGGTAATTTCTTCTGAAGAGCTAATTCTTTGATCCTGGCTACTGTTCAGCACTTTTGGTTTATAGTGGTATAGTGATGTGTTTTTGCTCTTGTAGATTGACAAGTTACTTGTGGTACCAACTTCAGTTTTTGACTGGTATTTAGTATATATGTTAGTTTTGATGCTTCATTAGATGTCACTGCATTTTAAAGTCCGAGGTTAATCATGTTTTTCTAAAACTATTTCTTGATAACAGTGGACGCAGTTGTGTGGTCAAGATCTCAAATATTATCAGACAAATTATTGTAATAATGAGTTTTTACCCATATACTATATGCACGTAAAGTTTTAACCATTTGCGCACGTATATATGCGAGTACCACTTTTCACACGAGATTCAGTTCATATGTGTGTTCATTTAGAGGACGGTACATAAGGTTGCATCCAATATGTTTAAAAACGCTTGTAAATAAAATAAAAGGAAAGGCTGATTCTTTTGCGTAAATCGCATAGGTCAATCCGTAAATTTGAAGTACTATGTGATCGGATGTTCATAACTGACATCAAATGTACTAATACATCCTAATTGACTGCTAAACTTCGAAATAAGATGATCTCTAGTGCAACTAAAAGTTTACTCTTAAGATAAAAGGTATTTGATTTGTAGGTTATGATTAAGTTAATTATATCACATAGGCTTCTATTATTCATTTAACTTAAAGTTGGTTTTTTTCACGACAAGAAATTTGTATCTTCTGGGGACAGTCCGAACATAGTAAATATCAACTTTCGTATGGCTAAGCAAAACTTGGGACTTCTAACTAAAACTTTTTTCTCTGTAGGTGAATGTCTATCCTGGCGTTAACTGCTTCACTTCAGTTTACGTACAAGACAACCTTGTTAGGGAGCCTGGTCGACTGAATTTAAAGTAGTTAGTACTGTCACTAAATTTTTATATTCCATCTAAAGTGGATGAAAACACTCATATGAATGCGTTAATGCTTTAGTACGTTAATCGTTCCTAATGAAAAGCACAAATATAACCATAAATATTTGTCAAAATACCATTACTGTTATTTGATTCCTTCATTAACTCAGTTACCATAGTGTTCTTGTTAGGGTTTGAGTCTATCTTATGATAAGGTATGTAAATAATTATTGGGAAATATTGTATGTATGGACTAGTCAATTGATACTTCGCTATCAGTCATGCGTGAGCCATGTTTAAAAACACGTTTGGACTACTAGTTTGTTATTTCAGTTGCTTGTTATAATGACCTTGTTTTCATTGTCTCCAGATGCATTTAATGCGTTTCGCCAGAGTAATAGTCTTATCACTGTGTCATAATTTCAATATTTTCAGATTTAGTCTTTCATAGAGAATGGAATTAAGTTTTTGAGTATTTCCAAAAAGCTACGAAAGTGCTCTAATCGGTTTAACAAGTTGGGATAGTCATATAGTGATTAATTGCGCGATATTATCATCAAAATCATCAAAGTGATTTTTTAAGACGCAGAAGAGAGTGTCTTTATGCCTGAAACGACATCTTTTATGTTGGTCATTTTCGCTTAACAAACTCCTTTGCAAACGTAATCTAATTTGCAACCGTACTTAATATTGTTTCTATTGACATCTCATTTAAGTGCTTTAGTGAAATCTTTGGTATAATCCATTATAATTCTCGAAAACGCTAAAACTTTCAATCAGAGATAATTGACCGTTGGTATGTGGTCGTTGGTCTCTCTTGTCGTACTTTCAAGTTATATGAGTTAAAGCATTCCTAGAATTCCTACCATAACAGAAATTTTGATCGCAATGACGTGTTTTAATATCTAGGTCATATTGATTACTACTCGGTTTTAGCGACTGAGGCTCTACTTTGGTCAGTTAGAAGCCAAATAACAAAAAAAGTAGGTGCATTAATGTCAGTATCTTTTATTTTCTTACAGTTGCTAGCCATAGGACTACTTTTCCTTAATCACTTGATGTAATTACGGAGTCGCCGACTCCGATCTCTTATCCTCTAATAAGTTCTGGAGAAAAATAGTATCAACAAATTTTACTCAGAAGGCATGACTTACAATGAGGTGTTTCCTTTGGACAATCAGCATATGCCACTATACTTCCTTCTCACCGCCTCCAGCGACAAGGCCTTTTGTAGTGCAGAGCCGACATACCAAAAATTTGCCTTAAAAAGACCTTGAGCGATCGACCTCAAGCAATTGTGCCCTGGGCTCTGCGGTCACGGTCCCAGGTCGCTAAGACCACCACCGATTCGAATTCTTCAGGTCCCTCAAGAAGAGATATCCTTCTACGGTGTGAAAAATGGGGCAGTGACAGCCTCCCTCATACCTCTGTCTGCACCCGAGATCATCTCGTTGACGATGGGCTTTGTGGCAAGCCCATTTGATCACTGTATCATTTGTCTACTCATTGTAACTCAGACACTTAATTCATCATGTTAATTTGTGTGCATTTCAGACTCTTAATTCATTTTGTTAATTTCGGTGTGTATGATCGAATGCATGTCTGTACATTAACCCCTAAGCTATTCTCCTATTAGTTGCAGTGTGCAGTTAATCGATAATTTATCCACACCCGATTAACTCTCAAAATATATATGGATTTTTAACACACACTCACTCACTTACTCACTTTGTTTCATCGTGTGCTTGCTCGCTGTACGCTTGCGGATTTTTATTAATCATTAACAATAAATTATCTCTACAACTGGTGTTCAGGCTTCTGAATAATCTCAAATAAATCCGTAATTCTACTAGGAGATTAAGCCTACCAAAAATACTCAGTTTACGGGATATTATTTATTGGAGTCAGATATTGAGGACATTAGCCTCAACAACTTCCTCCCTCACCTTGATATTCTTTTAACTCCATCTAAATAGTGTGTGAATTCCATGTGGCTCATACTTTAAGATTTAATTTCAATTCGTTGGCCTGTTAAATGCTGTTATACTTAGCTTTTTGTAACTTAAAGTGGTGCTATAGGGTTACCGGAATACAGTAGTACTGTAGTTGATAAGTCACTCAACCTTCGGCATTCGAGTTGTAGGTCCAAACATCGTCTGCTTACACTGGATTGAAAAGCTTGAGTAAAATCATTCCGTTTCACGCTCAAAGTTGTTGCTCAAAGTTAGGCGTACAAAACTGCTATTGGTTGCCAAGCCATATTAAATCAGGTTGAAAATTATAGCAATTGGAGTGGTATGGAGTTCGGGCTTGAAATTCAGTGAATGAGGGCCATTGAGTTGAAAATCTACTATTGGCATCCTGGCGACTCAGTAATACTTTGTTTAGGTATGGATGTTATCAAGTCATGTTGATTCTAAGTTAGTAATTACTTGTGTTCTGTTCTCTGGAATCGAATTTGTGGTTTGCGGTCTACACACTTTCACCTATAGCATTTTAGGTCCGAATTCATTTCTATTTACCCTAATACTATATTAGCAATAAAGCGTGATTCTAGATTACGGTTATACTTTATGGTTTAGAGTATGCCTATGGATTTGGTGCTTTTGTTTATAGGCTGCGAACAACTTCAGTGTGTTTGATAAGCAACTTCTAATTCACTTAATAAGTATTTTTATTGGAAGTGGAAGCAAAATATGCTGACTTTTTTGTGTATATTACTGAGATTAAAATTTTGTCCTTATTTTTAGCCACGACATATGGACAAGTCAGACGAATTATCTAACTTGTCGGACGATGATTATGTCCCTTATATACCAGTGAAGCAACGTAAACAACAGGAGGTAATGTTCTTCATCTTTGATTCGGTGTTATATTTGATAACAATCCTTAATTTTAAGTGTTTGAGGAAGCTCCGAAAAGCAGAATATTCTTATGTTTGGATTACCATAGAAAGTAGTTGGTTTTTAAACAATATAAATAAGTGTTTCACTCTTGATTTCTACGTGACCTAGGAATGTTTCTCATGTAAACTGTCTTTATTTTTATTACTCTGAGTATTGTTGTTTACTTTCAAGTAAGAAGTCATTGAAAACAAGAATTACTTGTAGGTAGTTTATCGATCCAGAGTCTTGGAGATATTTTATGTATGTGCAGTTGTAATACAATTCTATCCCCTTAATGCTTGGAGCAATAGTTTGGACTATTCAGTACATTTATTTATTTATCTATCTTTTTATTTATTTAAAAATAAACATTGGTACAAGGAAGCACCAAATAGATATGCACCACATAAATCACTAGATTTGTGTGAGGGATGGAATACTGCCCGGGTGCCCAGATCGAAGGAGTTGATTTTCTTAGGGGGCCTAATCCACGAGGCAGTGGAGCAATGTAAGATGTAAGCCCATGGTAGCTGGTGACCAACAGTTATTCTTACGCCGTTTGTTCCTTTAGGATCCTAGAGCCCATACACACCATTGGTTTGGAACCAGGGTTTCCAAACTCCCCTAGATGGGTCCTCCATATCCACCATCCCTGTTAAAACACCAGACATTCGCTTTTTGTTCTTTCATTTTCGTAAACAACAGTGAGTAGAACTTCCCTGGCAAAATGCCAAATAGTTAATATGCATTTGATCGTAATGTGAATCCTGAAAAGAAGTTGTTGTATCAATCACTTTGCTAACTCGACTGGTTTTGTAAACATCAGATAAAACGAGTTATTACTAATATCTTAGGGTTGATGCTTAACTTCGGACTACCTCTCGGAAGTTCTGCTTATTTCGTCTACGTCATAGTCACATACTAAGCTTGGACCATATTTGTGAAACTTAATATGGGCTGTTTCTGTTAAAATGAAAAGTAAAACTGTCTAATATCAGATTCGGTATACAAATTCAAAATGTGTTGGTTCTTATTTCTATGGTTGTTATCAAGTGTTCGTTTTGACTATATTTCTTACTGTGATATTATCATATCAGTCTATTGTACTTACGTTTATTTGTTTTGACAAAGAGATCATTATGAATTAGTTTTTGTCGCAGTAATTAGCTATCGATTCATTCAATGTGCTTTGAGATACATCTAATATAAGCTTCTCAATCCGAGATAAGTGGGATGAAGTTCATCCCTCACCTGTTAAAAATGTACTTCTAGTGGTATCGAGTGGATAAAAAATAAACTGAAATCCAAAAAAATTCGTTTATTATTAAATATTTGTTGAGTAAAAGTTCGGTCATTTAAATACATACATCGATTCAATCTAATATCAGATAATTTTGTTTGACTGCCTCTGTTTAGAAGTTTTACAGGTGACCAAAAGGCCGTTTCAAGCACGAATAGTCACCATTTATAATAATAATTATTATAATGGTAAAGATAATACTGGTTATACTCGCACTATTTAATACCATATCTTGATTATGGTGAATTCTCAGCACGAAATTCGCGGGGTTTCACAGATATTCCCGTTTTACGGTCACTTAACTCGTAAATATTAAAAACAACATTTTTAAAAGTTTCCAAACTGACTAACTGGCATTCATAGTCATAAATATTTATGATCAGTCTTGTACTCATGATATATCATCATCAGATCGGTTTTTTATGTGAATCCTGCAGTAATCACTCTCGTTCCTCCAAAAAAAACAGGAAGGGAATATACGAACTACTTTGATGGTGCTCCTTGAGTTCGTCAGTGACTAGATTCGCGATAGGTTATGAACGTTTCATGAAAGCACGTGAGTACATGCGGTTAACAGATATAGTGAGTTTAAGAAATTCCAAAGCAGGAAAATTTATTACAATAAATACATGTTTGGGAAAATATTGAGTCTAAAGTCTAAACAGACTGCCGCTTCGGTCACTTTTTCAGTTTTATGATACTTGGTTTGGTAGTGCCCAAAATAAGATTTGATCTCTTTAACCTTTCGAAAATTATTGAGGAACTTGGGTAACCCACCAACTGATTACGAATTGTTGTTTTGGTTTTGAATCACTTTTATCGTATCAGAACTAAGTAGATATTGACGACTTGTTCAAATCGATAAAAATAAAATATGGTTTAAACACTTACAACTCTGTCAAAGCTACTGATCCATATATGCACTGTTGGACGTGTTTAGGTCCAGCCAGTATATTCATTAAGATGAGACTCGTTTTGTTTATTAACTAGACGAGCTCAGCGGTTTAAGGACTGATAGGTATGAATTTCAAGCATTCCATCTCAGGTTCGAGTCTCATTTCACCTATGTAAATCTAAAAAAACTGGGTAATATCATCACCCTTTGCATAAAATAGTGTTCTCTAGAGTTTGATCACAAAGTTATCAAGACGAACCGTTTACTTATATCAGGTGTATAAACGTAGTTTTTTGTTAATAATAAAGTTTCTGTACTATTAGTTTCATTGTTCATAAGTATTCGACTTCTCCCACTTCAGCTTACTTCACTGCAGCGTGTATTAGGTAATCTTGCGTACACTGAAGTACCTGAGGAGGAACTAGACCAGGGTAATACAGCAGAACAAGTTGAAGATGATCCGGAGGGTATGACAAAAAAGTCATCTGATGACAAACATCATGGACCTAATGCTCAGGGTAGTTTATTTGATAGAATGTGGGAATTAAAGCGAAAAGCTGAAGGTATGTTCATCTGGAGTTTTTTGTTGACCTAATTTAGAAAGGAAGGAAACAGAACGGGATAAAAAATTAAAGGAAGAAGCTAAGATTTTAGAAAGTGTTGCTGAAAAGACCGCTTTAAAAGGTGTTGCAGAACTAGCAAAAGGTATCCAGTATGATAAACCAATTCAAACCAGGTACAGTAGTATAACAGTAATAATTTTTATTTTAGCTGGGTACCACCTGTATATATCCGGGAACAAAGTGAAGAGAAATCTGCAGAAATCCGCAAAAAGTTTCGAATTTTAACTGAAGGTGATGATGTACCTGCTCCTATTCGACATTTTAGTGAAATGTGTTTTCCAAAGGCTTTAATTGATTTACTAAAACTACGTGGAATAACAAAACCTACACCGATTCAAATGCAAGGTTTACCAGCTGTATTAAGTGGTCGAGATATGATTGGAATTGCATTCACCGGCTCCGGAAAAACAATGGTGTTCTCAATTCCAGTTATATTATTTTCTATGGATCAAGAACAGAAAATTCCATTTATTCAAAATGAAGGACCTTATGGTTTAGTTTTAGGTCCATCTGTAAGTTAGATTAATTTCTGTTTGATATCATTTTTTGTTTTATTAAATGGTTATGAGTTTTAAATTAGGTAGTTTTTATCTATCATTTTGTTTGTCACTAACTTTTTCTTTTAGACATAGGTAATAATATGGACCTAGGTTTCGAATGTTTCTTTATCAAACATATGCGCTATAATATATTAGTCTACCTCGTTAATTTGCTATTTACATAATCGTACAGTGTTATGCGTTTATACATTATTTCGACTTTTTATTTATTTGAGCAAGAATATTGATCGGATGTCTATGATGATAATCTTAAATCAGAAACAAAGGTGTACAACTCATACATTTATATTACTCAGTTCATTTCAGTGATCATTTTTAATCATGTGTCTTTCGTTCTACAGATGATATCATGATTATCTAAGTTTGATCATTATCCTTCAACGTGGAATCCCATTAGGGCTTTTCACATAGCTAATTTGTGATGCGACATTATGTGACGAACAGTAGCTCGTGTTTGAAAATTTATCCAAATTATTTTCTAATGTGCGTTAAATCCATGATGCTTTCTGTCATCTGCCGTAGTGGATTTGAGGGTTTTATTGTTAATTCATTGGAGGTTGTCAATAAGTAACTACGAGTTCAGAGAGGGATTGGCCTTCAGTCAGATAACAACAACTTCTCTAACAGTAGTACTAAAGACTTGGTTTAACAGTGGTTGGTTTCATATTGCTTGAATTATAGTAATATTGACTCAATACTAATTGTGGTCAGCACATTTCACATACAAATTAATATTGTAATGTTAAACAAAATCGTGAAAAATCCCATACGGTCTTTGATGACTATCTTCTAAAAACTTCCTAAACTTCCAAAGAGTTAATAAAACTAACGTAGGGACTGTTACAGATGTACATCAGTTCAATTCGCCACATATCAACACAGTTAAATGAAATCAGCGAGCTGCTTAGCAAACGGAGTCGAAGTGATAATGTCTGTGATTGTAAAGAATACGATTTGAAAAGAAGAAACGGATTCTCCGGATAAAAATTAAACAAGACTGTATGGTTACTAGCTCAACTGATTTATTATGTGTGTAAGGGATGCCGTTTACTTAATAGAGGTTTGTAATCAATCGAAAAGGAATTCTGAACATTGGTTTTGTGCTATTTAGTAGTTATCAGGAAGGTAAAAGGCTCCCTAAGAAAACCACCTGCTTCGGTCTGGGCACCCGGGCAGTATCACAGCCCCCACACACAAAATGTTGAACTGTCCATTTATGGAAAATATTCTTCTTGCTCAGAATAACAATCAAATGACTCACATTATTATTATTTACTACGTCATTTATTCACCCTCTTTTATTCCCACTCTGTGTGTACTTATTTTTCGACTTATACAGCAGCTCGCCTATGGTGGAAATTCGACTCTGTTTAAACGTTCTCGAGTCACTGCCTAGTTGAAAATTGTATACTACCACCGAATACGAGTACTGAAGCAGTTTTTCTGAAACCACGTGCACCATTCAAGCTGGCTGCCTTCAACGTTCGCACACTTATGCAGGTCGGACAACACATAGGGCTGGCTAGCTATGTCTTTCGAAAGTCTTAATATCGACGTTTGTTGTCTATCCGAGACCTGTATTCAAGATAGATTGCAGCCCGGATGCAATCAAGGATGAATTCTACCACCAACTATCTGTTCTTCTCCAGAAAGTGCGTTCGACAGATATTGTAGTACTAGCCGGAGACTTGAGTGCTCAGGTAGGCCGTCTAGGCACAGAAGAGAGTTGTTTAGGTGGCCGATAGGGACCTGTTGGTCGCAGGACATATAGCAGGGACCGTCTACTGCAACTGTGCACAGACCACAACCTATTTCTGGCTAGCGCTAACTTTCGGCACAGTCATCGCCGACGTGCCACCTGGCGTCCTCCCTCTGCATCTCAAGCCTGGACTCAGATTGATCACATCGCGATCAGCTACCGCTGGCGTGGTTGTGTACAAGACTGCCGCTCCTTTTGGACTCTGATCATGCCCTGGTCTGCGCCAATCTTACCTTACTTTTCAGTGGCCAACGAATTGACCGCCACCAAAAGATCGATGTTAGCAAGCTGGTTGCAACTTCTGTTGAAAGTAAGTATCGAACCGAGCTAGCTTCTAGGCTAGCTACCATTCCACCGAAAAGTATAGATGGGCATTGGTCGCAATTGCATGACGCCATGAAAATGGGGAGTACAGCCGCTTGCAGCTTCGCGAAACGTCCCGCTTATAAGCACTGGGTTTCTTCAGGCTCCTTACAACTCATTGAAGCCCGTCGGTCTACTCCGGGTGACCGTGAGTTTGACAACAAACGAAGAATGTTACGTTATGAAATCGGGAAAAGCTTGCGTAAGGACCAAGAAGATGGTGGTGACTTTCTGACTAAGGAACTGACAACGTTGTTTACAAAGGTCTGAGAACTGAGAGTGTATCAACGTTATGGAATGAGTCGATAGTTGTCCCTATCTTTAAAAAGGGGTTCACGCCTTTCCTTTAACAACTATCGCGGATAAGTCTACTACGATTCGTTGAACAGGACTGTTCTCTGGAATTGTCTATTGAAGAAGGGTGTGTCTGAGAAGTTTATTAACATCTTAAAGACCCTATCTACAAACATCTCAGGCAGTGAGGGCATACAACCAGCTCTCTCCATTGTTCCATTCTAGCAGTGGGGTTAGACAGGGTTACCTAATCTCACCATTCCTCTTCAACTTTGCTTTCAACGACGTTCTGGAAACAGCTCTGATGAATGTAAGTAATGGCGATGTGGACCTGTTGCCTGGAGAAACTTCTTGACCTTGAGTATACAGATGATGTTGTCTTACTGTGCGATAATGCGCAAGGCATGCAATCCACACTTAACCAGTTGGCAATCAATGTCTGTAGGTATGGTATGTGCCTTGCACCTCTGAAGTGCAAAGTACTTCTACAAGACCCGCAGGATCCTCCTAATCCTGTACTCAGTCTGGATGGTGAGCAGATAGAAGTAGTCGAGAAGTTCGTGTATCTTGGTAGCTGCATAAGTGCTAGTGGTTGCGTGAGTGATGAGATCAATGCACGTATAGTGAAAGCCAGAGCTTATGCCAATCCGGACTATCTTTGGCGCCTTCGTGATGTTAGTCTGTCTGTAAAAGATCGGATCTACAACGCGTCGGTGAGAGCAGTTCTGCTCTATACTTGTGAAACCTGGCCTCTCCGAGTTGAGGATGCTAGACGACTTTTTGTGTTTGATCCTAGCTGTCTCCAAAGGATTGATGACATCCAGTGGCAACACCATGTTAGTAATGCAGAGGTTCGGTATCGTGTGTTCGGGTGCAGAGACGATAATCCAATTGGTGTCACTATCCTGAAACATCGACTTCGGTGGCTTGGACATGTTCTACGAATGTGCTCCCAGAAAATTCCATGTGTATAATTTGCCGACGTTGGGACTGGCTGTAAGAAGCGGAGAGGTGGTCAGTGTATGACATGGTCTTGTGGTATGAAAGAAAGCTGCAACGGGCTGGCTTGTGTTGGTCCTTCTTGACTTCTTGGCTGGGGTCCAAGAGATGGTGCAACGCATTGGCTAGAGACGTTATCAGATATGGCTCGGAATAGAAGCCAGTGGCGATCCTGCTGTAACCTTTTACTTTCTTCATAAAAAGTGGTTTTATCTTCCTTAACTGAGAGATTTCTCCTGATTGTACCCTTTCGTTTCCTGCATTATTATTATTATTATTATTATTACTCTACCTTACCTTATTCTGTTCGTTATTGTTTTTTTATTAAGCTCCTCACCTTTTTTCCTTCTCTTCTTCAAATTCCCATTGTTTTGTGTGGCGCATGTATGTTTGGCGCCCTCTTGTACCAATATTTATGTGTTCAAATAAATAAATATCAGGAAGTTTGCTTACATAGGTTGCTGATATGTGTGAGGAAGTATTAAACTCATGTCTAAGAATTTCCACCAATTAAACCTATGTAGCTGAAGATTTCGCATCTACTTCTTCTGTTTATGAATCATTAGCCTTGTAAGAAGGTGGAGTATATGTTTGTTTATTTAAGTGTAAATTTATCTGGAATTTTAAAGATGGTAAATAACTTTTTCATTTTTATCAACACTTTGAACTCAGCTGACTATTATTTTATAGATAACTAGTTTCGCTTGTACCAAATACATTTGAAGCATTTAGAATTGTTTGAAATATTAATACAGTTAGAATTCTATTGTGATTTTAGAAATAGGTAACTCACTGTTGTTGTTACCAATATTTACAATTACTACTCAAAGATTATGAATCTATATATTGTAATTGAACATAATACTGACAAGAAATTACTCGTTTCAGTTGAATTTGTTTTATGAAGATCGTAAAAATTTTTATTGTGTACTAAAATTGTGTTAAATAATTCTTTATTTTTTTGTCGTAATAAATCTCTAATGAATTATTAGTGAATGATTTTTGTAAGTAATAAATAATACTATTTCTTCTATACTAGCGTGAATTAGCTCGACAAACACATGAAGTAATATGTAGCCTTATTGATGGTTTAGTCAAAGCTGGTTTCCCTTCTATTCGTTGTTGCTTATGTATTGGTGGTATGGCTGTTAAAGAACAAGCAGATATTGTTAAAAGATCTGGTGTTCATATTTTGGTTGCTACACCAGGTCGTTTAATAGATTTACTTCAACGTAAAATGATTAATTTAGAAGTATGTCGTTATCTTGTTTTGGATGAAGCTGATAGAATGATTGATATGGGTTTTGAAGAAGAAGTCCGAACTATATTCTCCTATTTTAAGGTAAGAAATTAAATTTTTTTCATTCATTCATCAATATATATATATATATATATATATATATATATATATATATATATATATATATATATATATATATATATATATATATATAATTATTGCATAGACATTATGTAGATTGAAATTAGCTGAATCAAGAGTATATTAGTTACGTTTCACAACATCCAGTTAATATATACACTTTTTTTGTGAGCTTGCCAACTAGTGGTGTGAACGAGAAAACTGGAAAATAACTAGAAATCTTTTATGTGTATACATTTGTCTGCTTGACCTGCATAAGGCCATGTAGGCTCATTAAGTGGATAATCGACTTACTTCAACAGCTTTTTTTATTGAAGAAATAAATTAAATTTTTAGCATCTACGTAAACTTTCTGCACAATAATATTTTATTGATTGAAATGCAATGTAACAATTAATTAATTGTTTTCTACTCATATTATATTTAATGCCATTATTCAGGGACAACGTCAAACACTTTTGTTCTCTGCTACTATGCCGAAAAAAATACAAAATTTCGCTAAATCAGCGTTGGTAAAACCCGTCACTGTTAATGTTGGCCGAGCTGGAGCAGCTAGTATGAATGTCACTCAGGAAGTGGAATATGTGAAACATGAAGCGAAAATTCCTCATTTACTTGATGCTTTACAAAAAACTCCACCTCCTGTAAGCTTTCCCCTCTTATTTTGATATATATATATATACTGGTTAGCATTTCTAAGTGTTACCTTATTTATCAAAGAAGTTTATTGCTTAACTTACATTTGTTAAAATTCTGTATAAGTACTCCACTAAAGCAAAGGCAATCAACTCAAACTTGTACAAAAAATAAGGTAAAGAATGAGCAAACATATTTTGTCAACTTTTAAGGCACATTTTTAAGTGTTTATATCAATGTTTTTGCACTGTTGCCACAGCAAACTGATCCTCGTCCTCGTTTCGATATATGATATAAATCTTTGTAACTTTTCAAACCATGGTGGTCTGTTCACTTTATTCTGAATCGCTTTTTTGTTCTTATTTATGTGTGCACAAACATTTACCTATCTTGTTTAAAATTTGTCTTTAAAAATATTCACTTCGTAACTAAAATAAAATAACAGATCCTTACCACCTGTCAAAGATAATTAAGTACTGGTTGTTACGCTTCATCTATTGTTAGTTCAAAATTACACTAGGGATTTTTATAACTAAGATAATAAAAAGTATATTCAGTCCTACTATCTAGTAAATAAACATTTCGCCTAGTTGTTAATCATATGAATGCGCAATGTGAATTCTTTTCTCATAATTTGTCAGTTGTTTACAGTGCACAACTTGAGTATTTATTTGTTTCACTGTAATAGAGCATATAATTTAAAATTACAGCTGAATCGCCACTGGTTTTTTATTTTGAGCTATGTCTGGTAGAGTACCTCAAGTCATTGGGTTGGATGAATTTTAAAATCACAACCAGGTAGTCGTGATAATCTGACAGATAGCAATCTATTATAACTATCTTCTGTACCATGGTGTTATGTCATACACAAACTCAACCCATCTCCATTTTTTCTATTCATTTCGAGAGTCGTTAAATAGTATGTCATATAGGAAGCCAATAAAATCTAAGGGTCTTGGGTATAACTCACAAAGAATTTGACTATGGAGATAATATGTCCAAATGTTGTTGGATAAGATGTATCTAAACTTTCTAGAAGTTAGTTACTTCCGTTGATTCATAAAGTTATAAAAATTTTCTAATTTCATAATTTTTCTTGCTTTAATTCGCTTGCTTTTAATTAGAGAGCTTGACTAACATTGTTTTCAATGAACTAGGAGCTCATTCAATAACATATTGATTGATATCATTAGTGAATGAAATATTCTTATTTAATGTCTAAAATTCATTGTTAGTTTTGGATACAAAAATATATTTCTATATTTTATTTCACTTTTAAAATGTTATCAAGTAATTTTTTAAAATTTAAAACAGGTTATTATATTTGCTGAGCGTAAACAAGATGTGGATGCTATACATGAATATCTTCTTTTGAAAGGTGTTGAAGCAGTTAGTATTCATGGTGGAAAAGATCAAGATGAACGTGTATCAGCTGTAACAGAATTTAGAGCTCATCATCGTGATGTCTTAGTTGCTACAGATGTGGCTAGTAAAGGTTTGGATTTTCCGGAAATTAATCACGTGATCAACTATGATATGCCTGAAGATATTGAAAATTATGGTTAGTTTAATATTGATAATAATTTGATGAAATTACTTTCTAAGTAAAAGTTGAACTTAGTAGGTCAGTGGGTAATACGCTGGGCATTTGAAGTGAAAGGTTACTGGATCCGAGTTTTGGAATAAATATCGACTCTAGGATATGCTGATGTCGAACAAGACGATAAGTTAAAGGATTGTTTGTTGAGGGAAATTACAACTTACTTACTTACTTACTTACGCCTGTTACTCCTCGTGAAGGAGCATAGGCCGCTCACCAGCATTCTACATCCGACCCTGTCCTGGGCAATCCTTTCCAGCTCCTTCCAGTTGTTATTCATCCTTTCCATATCTGCCTCTATTTCCCGACGTACTGTGTTATTTGGCCTTCCTCTTTTCCGCTTCCCTTCAGGATTGCAATTTAGGGCTTGCCTCGTGATGCAGTTTGACGATTTGCGTAGTGTATGTCCTATCCATTTCCATCGTCTTTTCCTAATTTCTTCTTTAGCTGGAAGCTGATTTGTTCTCTCCCACAAAAGGCTGTTGCTGATGGTATCCGGCCAATGGATGTTGAGTATCTTGCGAAGACAGCTATTTATAAATACTTGTACCTTCTTGATGGTGGTTGTTGTAGTTCTTCAAGTTTCAGCTCCATACAGTAGAACTCTCTTGACGTTGGTATTGAAGATTCTGACTTTGATATTGGTTGAAAGTTGTTTTGAGTTCCATAAGTTCTTCAATTGTAGGAATGCTGTCCTTGCTTTGCCAATCCTTGACTTTACATCTGCATCTGAGCCTCCTTGTTCATCGATGATGCTTCCCAGGTATGTGAAGGATTCTACATCTTCCAGAGTTTCGCCATCAAGAGTGATTGGATTGCTGTTCTCCGCTTTGAATTTGAGGACCTCGGTTTTCCCTTTGTGTATGCTGAGGCCTACTGATGCAGAGACTGTTGCTACACTGGCTGTCTTCATCTGCATCTGTTCGTGTGTATGCGATAGTTGGGCTGGGTCATCTGCGAAGTCCAAATCGTCTAATTGATTTTGATCTGTCCATTGTATTCCGTGTTTTTCTTCAGATGTCGAGGTCTTCATAATCCAGTCGACCACCAGAAGAAAAAGGAAGGGAGAGAGTAAACAGCCCTGTCTGACTCCGGTCTTTACTTGGAATGCATCTGTCAGCTGTCCTCCATGCACGACTTAGCATTGCAGTCCATCATATGAGTTCCGGATAATACTGACAATCTTCTCAGGAACTCCGCAGTGTCGAAGACGTTTCCATAACGTCCTCCTATCCACACTGTCAAATGCCTTTTCATAATCAATGAAGTTGATGTATAGTGACGAGTTCCACTCAACTGATTGTTCGACGATGATCCACAGTGTTGCGATTTGGTCTGTGCATGATCGATCCTTACGGAATCCAGCTTGTTGATCTCGAAGTTGGGCGTCTACTGCATCTTTCATCCGGTTCAGCAACACTCTGTTGAAGACCTTCCCTGGTATTGACAGCAGTGTAATGCCTCTATAGTTTTCACATTTGCTCAGATTTTCTTTCTTTAGAATCTTGACGAGGTGCCCTTCTTTCCAGTCCATCGGCACTTGTTCCTCCTCCCAAATCTTTTTGAATAGAAGGTCAAGCATGTTTGTAGTCAATTCGATTTCTGACTTCAGTGCTTCAGCTGGTATGTTGTCCGGTCCCGCTGCTTTCCCGTTCTTGATTTGTCTGATGGCCATTCTGATTTCTTCCGTCGTTGGTGGGTTGACGTCTATGGAAAGATCTGTGTGTGCCGCTTCAATGTCCGGTGGATTCATTGGAGCCGGCCTATTCAGGAGTTCCTCGAAGTATTCTACCCATCTGTTCCGCTGTTGTTGAATTTCAGTGATTGGCTTGCCTTCTTTGTCTTTGACCGGTCTCTCTGATTTACTGTATTTCCCTGCTAGTTTCTTCGTTGTATCGTAAAGTTGTTTCATATTTCCTTCTCTTGCAGCTTTTTCCGCCGTCGTTGCTAGTTCTTCCACGTATCTCTTCCTGTCGGCTCTAATGCTCCTCTTCACTCGCTTGTTTGCTTCTGTGTATTCAGCTTATGCTTGGACTTTCTCTGCTCGTGTTCCGCTGTCGTTAAGTGCTGTCTTCTTGTTCTTCCTTTCTGTGATCTGGTCCATTGTTTCTATAGAGATCCACTCCTTATGATGGTGTTTCTTTAGGCCCAGAACCTCTTGACACGTTGAAGTTAATGCCTCTTTGATACTTTTCCAGTTATCCTCCATAGTAGTTTCTCCTTTCAGTAGATCTTGTAAGGCTTGGAACCTGTTGTTGAGAGCTATCTTGAATTCATTGAGTCTGTCAGTATCTCGAAGGAAGGCTGTATTGAACCTTTGTATTGCTGTTTGTCCAGTTGTCCAGTTCTTTTTTTAGCTTCAGTTTTAAATTGGCTACAATTAGGTGGTGATCTGAAGCTATATCAGCTCCTTTCCTGGTTCTCACATTTTCCATTGTCCTTCGGAATTTTTTATTGATGCAAATATGATCTATCTGGTTCTCTGTAGTGTGGTCCGGTGAGATCCATGTAGCCTTGTGTATACATTTGTGTGGAAATATTGTGACACCTATGACCAATCTGTTGAATGCACATATATTTGCAAATCTTTCTCCATTTTCGTTTCTCTGTCCCGGTCCATGTCGTCCCATAATATCTTCATATCCGGTGTTGTCTATTCCAACTTTGGCATTTATATCTCCCATCAGAATGGTGAGGTCGTTTCTTGGGCACTTCTCTATGATTGACTGCAGCCGCTCGTAGAATTAATCTTTAATGTCGTCGTTGCTATCATCGGTGGGTGCATAACATTGAATAATATTCATTGTGATCCTCTGCTTCTTTGTTTGGAACGATGCTTTGATGATTCTGGATCCGTGAGATTCCCACCCTACAAGTGCATTTTGTGCTACTTTGGACAGCATTAGAGCAACTCCCTGAGTGTGTGGAGCATTTTTCCTTTTCGTGCTTGGAGTATAGTAGCATCTCTCCCGTAGCTAGCCTTTTCTGTCCAGCTTGGGTCTAGTGGGTTTCGCTGATTCCCAGTATTGCCAAATTGTATTTCCTCATTTCTGCTGCTATTAGACTGGTCTTCCCGGTCTCCCACATTGTTCGAACGTTCCATGTACCTACAAAATTTTTTGCTCTGGTTGTTAGAACGGGCATCGGCCTCGTGGCTTCCGAAGGAACTCGGCTTTGACGATGAAGCTTCATAATTCTTCTAAATGAAGACCTTCTAACTCCCAGGGCAGAGTTAAAATGGTTTGAATTATTTTTTCTGATAAGCGTTTTTTTAGCGAGTTAGTTTTCTACGGGATGGGGACGCTAACTCCATACCCAACCCTCCTCCTTTACTCGAGCTTTGGACCTGCAGTAACTCTAGAAGAGCTACAGGTGGAGTTGGGAAATTACAAAGCGTTTATATAATACATATGCATAGCCTTCCATCATACATTTGCATCTTGCGGTGTGCTCTGCAATCTAGTTAGTTCTAAGCTTTCTTCTCGTCTGGTTATCAATTGTCCTGCTTACGCTGTGCTTTTGATGTACCGAAACTGTTTTTCGTCTGACGGCTGTGACAACTTCGGCTCCACGTTTCGCCTCATGCTATTTATAAGCAATTTCGTCAATAGCGTCCACCACATTTGTAAGTATCTCTATCTGACGAGTTCCAACTATGACAGAACACGCATCCTGAATTCCTTTACTTATCAATGTCCTTCTTTATCTAAGATACTTATGACCCAATGGTAATATTGAGGCAATCTGCTCATGAAACACATGTTCCAAAAGCGACTGATCAAAATTCAATCCCTAGCATCAACAACAGGAAGATTCAAAAGCTTACAAACAAAATAATTATCATAGTTAAACTCTTTATATGAAGTTAACAGTAATTATTACTAACATGTCTATTCATAATTAAATACATGGTTTTCCTTAGACAAAGTTATGCAGCATGCACAATGTAAATACAATTGGACACTGTCGTTGTTTATACTAGGAATTTATATTTTGTAAATACTAACAAGATACTCACTTGAGTGATTTATTTACATGTTTGTTACAATGCTTACTTTTTAATGTGATGAAAATATTAGGGATATGAAAGAAATTACTCATATGCACCAAGACACGCAATAAACCATCTATAATAATCATCTGCTTTCACGGCATCGTAAATCCATTATGTCAAGTAACTGATCACTCTTAGCCTTCTTTCTATTCATTATCTCTTCCTTCCCTATTGAGTCTTTAACGTTAAAGTTGACATTGAATGCTGATAAGTCATGATGTTTTGACCATTGATAAATTTTTTGCTTCTAAAATATAGTTGCGATATAGTGTGGTGAGTAGTGGTGGCTTAATGGCTAAAGCGATTGACATTCAGTTACTGGCTTTTCAGTTCAAACCCTTATCAACCTACTTCTCTATTGTCAGCCTAGTAGTATTGCTTACTGTAAATAAAAGTAATTTGTCTAAAAGCCAAGTACATGAAACTGAACTCGGAAGCAGAGTTAGATTGAATTTCTTAATAAAATCTAGATTTATGACTATCTAATCCTTCACATTTTATGTGGCTCATTACTAATTAGCAGTTGTTATGATGCCTATTAGGAAGATATTATAACTTGTTTACAACTAAATAAATGATTTATCTACTGGTATCTCAGTTCTTACTCCCTAGTCATCAATAATTCACTGAATAGATCAGTGAAAGTTACATGTTTCTTCGATATTTTTTATTCATGATATATTTGCTCATGGTTATAAAAGCAGGTTGGTTAATGAAAACATATCTCATTAAGTCTAATTTTCTTGACAATTTCAAAAATTTATAATAATTGTACGTAGTACTAGAAACTAGTTCAGTCTTAAAAGTATAATTAGTCGACTAATTTTTGTGTTGTTTTCTCTTGTTCATTTTAGTACATCGCATCGGTCGTACTGGTCGTGGTCATCAACGCGGGTTGGCTACAACATTTATCAACAAATCAGTGGATGAATCCACTTTATTAGATTTAAAGCATTTACTCATAGAGGCTAATCAACCTGTGCCAGAATTTCTTGTTGAATTGGCATCAGCTACTGAAGTTGAACTTGAAATGGGTGGTGAAGTTGGCTGTGCATATTGTGGTGGTTTAGGTCATCGTATAACACATTGTCCAAAACTAGAAGCAATGCAGAATAAAGCTGCTATTAATCTGGGTCGTAAAGATTTCTTGTCTTCTGCAGACTATTAACAAATTATCATTATCATCTGATAAGCTGAATACAGCCAAACATTTGATAGTTACTGTAAATAATTTATAAATTTAATTTGTAAATAAAATCTTCAATTGACGTTCGTACTTTTTCTTTTTCCTTGTCTTGGTTCAAAAGCTTAAATTTCAAGTTTGTTTTTCTTCAAAATCATGAAAGAAATTGTCTCAAGTTTACTATACTGTTATATTACTGCATATACTATATTTAATCATATCTAAATACTGTGATTCACAAATGAAAGTTCATTTTTGGTCTGTAAATTGTTAGAATATTTTCTTTGTAAATATTTTCTCGGTTCACATTTAGTTGTACTGTATAGACATGTTTTTTACTACTTAGAAACCAATAGTTCTAAAATAAATTGAATGAACTTCGATCTGAGAAGAAGAGATCTGCTGATTTAGTCACCATACTTTACTGAATTCTTTACTTTCCCTTGGAAAGTAAGTTCTTGATTAATTTATTCGAAATGTATTACAGGAAAATATAATAGGATCATGTATAGTTCACAACTTTTGCTCAATTCTATCCTCAGTCCCATTAGTTTTAAAAGTTAAGAGAGTAAATATACTTTATTTCTCTGTTCATTTCAGCCAGTGTATAGAGTTCACTTTCAAATTTCTTCCTAATAATTTTCCGATATACGTGTGTGTGTGTTTCCCAATCACTGGATACACATATTTCTCCTCCAGAGAATAACCTATTAGTCATTCGTTTAGGTTGATGAGGTTGATTTTATATCTATAATAATTATTACTCGCAAATTCTTTTAGTCCTTGGTAATTTAAGAGTAATGATATTGATGTATTGTATATAATCCCCTGAATACAGTATCACTGCTTGTTCTAATCAAGAAACGTTTTCTTAAAAATTAATAGTATAAATCGTTTGGACTTAAATTGGGAGAATTAATTAATGTAATTCTTAGATCGGAAATCAATAACTAAATAATCCAGTTGCTTGATGTTGTTTCCGTATAAATGTTTGGCCAACGCTCGTCAATTATAGATAAATAATAGTTTGTTTTATCCTCAGAAAATGCTTTTATACATTTGATAGAGATGTAATCTGTATTAAAAACGGAATAGGACGTATTATTTCATTTATATCAGTGTATTACTGAAAAGTTAGCCACGCATTATGTTATCATCTAATGAATTATAAATTCTGCATTGAGTTCCATTTTCAATCCTGAAACTTAATTTTGAAACTGGATGAACTTTACAACTAAATAATTTGTGAAAATTTGATAAATTAGAAAACACATTGTTTTTCACACGTTGAACAAGGTGATAACCAGAGAGAAATGGTAGGTTACCTGAATCTTAATGTCCATTAGCTTTACTTAGATAATCGTAACTTGTGTGGCTAGTTAGAATTAATAATAAATGGTCAGGATTAGTAAGTTTATTTTGAAAGGGGTAATGTGTACATTGAACAAGAACATTTCGTTTCTTTACAGTTTATAGGACTTTTTGGATGACTATATGTTAGTAGTTCCGGTTTTTTGCGTGTCTATTTTTAAAAAATTAAAGCCAATCCATAATGCAAAAATGTACTAATGTTACTATAATAATAATAATAACAATAATAATAATAACAATAACAATAGTTCATTAAAAATCCTTATTGCTTAGCTTTATTGTTAACAAAAATAGTATTTAATTGAGATATTGACAATAGGGTTGTTTTGGGAGTAACAGTTAAAATGTAGGTGTAATGAAACATGGTTCACCAATATCATGTATATCTATCTATTTAAAAATAAAAATTGTGTACTGTTATGGAGAATTGTAAACCGAGTAGATGAGTTTTCTCCCAGTTTATTATGTTTTATTTTGAACTCGTTTTAGATATCTTGTTATGGTGATCCTTTTTGAGAAATACACAGCCAAAATAATTAGTATTAGCAGTAGTAGTAAGCAAATAACCAAGAGGATTATTGAAATCGGATGTACTATATTGGAGGAAAAAGCATAAAGCAATTTGAAAGAAGATAACATAGGGTGTTTTGTAATAATAATAATAATGATTGGTATCAAATATGCTATATTTTAAATTTCATAAATGTATGAAGATTTATTTGATGATATTTTTGATACGCGTTTTTAATGCAATCGCTCAAATAGAAAATGGAAGGAACCTGTGATTTCTTTGTTTAGTTTTACTCAACCACTTGGGTTCGATTCCCGGTAGTTCGATGCATGGGCACGATATGAATCATGACGAGGTAAAACTTCAATCTCATGCCTCCTGTTTTTTATTTGTTTTGATATGTTTCGTGAAAGTAAATTGTGATTACTTAGCGAAGGTACATACCCACTCTGTACTTAGTAATATATTTATTTGTATTTTAACTTTGATCTCTATTCTGAGTTGCACTTTGTGTTGGCTGCCTGCATTCAAGTTAATAAAACTTGTCTAACCCGTGATTTGACCGTCAATCATTGACCGGAATAGTGTATCATGTGGCATAACCTAGTGACGTAATAATATGGTGTTTTACCAAGTATCGTAATCTAGTTTGTCCAGTTTGTTATTCAGTGTAGTGTTACTGCATTATCACCAACTAGTAAGTTTCATTTGTATGTTAACTGTTTAGTGGAGCTTAGTAATTAACATATTTCCAGTTTCAAAAGGTTTCATTTGGTCAATATTTAAAAACCATTAACTAGTGGGCATATAATTTAGTATATTCAAGGATTACACTTTCATATGATATTGTAGCTGCACTTGGGGTTGAACTCAGATATCCTTTTGTTTTTATAAAAAAGCTCGTTAATAACTTACATGTACAATACTCTGAACGACTATATCCTCCTACTTTTTTCCATCCAAATCTGCATGCACAACTGATTCCATTCATCGTATTTACACAATATGAGTACGATGGGCAAATCGATTGACAATCCTCACATGTTCTTCTCACTGTATTAGCTGGAATGCGAATGATAAAGAATTAGTCAGATACGTATGCATTGCTTAGGAATAACAAAAAAGGAAATAAGCTATGTTTGGTAATGATTCCAAAGTTTAGTATAGTGACCTAAATCATATTATTCTTCAGAAAATATAAACTGAGTGAAATAATTATATTTTGTATTCCTATCAATTTCACTAACAACAGGCCTACTGTTACTGTATTCCACATAACATCAAATTTGGTAGAGGCTAATTTCCCCTATATCTGACTTTAATAAATTATATCCCGTTAAGTGAATATTTAATGCAGGCTAAATCTCCTAGTAGAATTATGGATTTACTCGAGATTATTCCTTTAATCTTCTTAACCTTCTGTCACTAGACATTTCACTTTCGATTAACAATACATACTACTTATAGCTGTCGACATCAGTAGCACAACACAGTATATTCCCTGATTTGCATCGATTCTTCAACTGATTACTATCAAAAGTAAGAATTATTTTCAAGCTGTACAAATCCCTACAAACTATTAGTTTGACTGGAGAGAGTGAGCAACCAAAAAAAGAAACAATTGATTCCTTATAAAAATCTATAACATTTATTTTTTCCACTAATATTTTGTATTTATGTTATTTTATTGAAAGAAAACTTGTTCTATTGGGGAACAATATTATCTTCTATTATCAGTTCATTCGAGGGTTTAAATTTATAATTCAGTCTTGTGAGCAGTAATTGTTCGGCTACAGTGTATCTCATAGTATATCATTTATTGACCAGTATTGTTTTCTTTCATTTTAACAATCGGAAATCTGTTCAAAAAAAAATTCAACTCTATAAAATAAAACAATTAAAATAGATAAAATAAATAATATTTTGGTAAATTAATGAACATTCAGTCATATAATAACTTACAAATGATTTTAATATGAGCTTTACTGAAGTCTTTTCCATTAATATGAAATTTGTTATTTTGTTTCAATGTTCCAAGTAAAGTTTGATCAGATAGTTGTGTTGCTTTAATTGAATCATAAACTATATCGGTTACAGCAAACATGGTTTCTTGATCTGATGGAATAAATTGAACAACACTACAATGAGGTCTTTCATAATCTGGCATTTTCCCAGTTGTTACTTGTTCCATAATCTGATTTATTTAAAGCGAATAAACAAAGAAAATGTAATAGTAATAGTGATAGTAATATATATATATATATCTTCAGTTTTATGTAAGTATAATATATACTCCTGGAGTTCTAGTAGAAAGCCGTTACCAGTGGAGTTCAACCAGGTCTGTTGTGAGATATCAGCTCACTGAAGACAATGGTGTATGGTGGCGCAACTTCGTGGATTGGTTGAAGTTAGACATTAACAGCGTTGGATGCCTACTCAGTAGTCTGATGGTTAAGTGCTCGCGCGCGAAGCCAGTAGGTCCTGGGTTCGAGCCCCACGTGGTGCGGGATCGTGGATGCGCACTGCTGAGGAGTCCCATACTAGGACGAAACGGCCGTCCAGTGCTTCCAGGTTTTCAATGGTGGTCTAGCTTCAACTGACTCATGATTTCAATCTGTGAAAATTTCTAAAATCTCCACAAACCCCTTCTGATTATAATATAATAGTCAATTAGACTTGTAACTTAAAATAATTGAGAGATATCAAAAATATTTGTTTAAAATTCTGTATTAAAAGTTATTGGAAAGTCCAAAGGATACAACACTCAATTAATCGTTTCAAAGAAATCAAACTAATATTACTCTTTTATCATATGTTCTTATGCAGAAGTTTTTTTATTATCTACGGTCATAATTATGATTATATTTTAATAGTTACTACTGTAGAAATTACTTCTTAGTAATATTTTCGCTACCGATTGCTCATGTCTGTCATTTATTCAAGTTTTCTGGTTGCGGACTAAGGTTTATATAAATGATTGCTAACTTCTCTTACTGTGAAACAACTCAAGGATGTGTTTTTGAATTATACAGGAAGAAATAATTAACACTAAACCTAGGTTATTAGTGCTTCCTGTAAATTGTTTTCAGTTATCTGAAGTTAGACAATGCAATGTGATCTCTAGTCACTTAGAATATAAACCATGTTTCAGCGTAACAATCAACAGAGTTCGAGGGTTAGACAATACAATACTGACTGCTTTTCCGTAATCAATCAGTATGAAATCCTTTTCACTGTATATGTGGCAATGAAATTAAAATTATAGTGCTTTTTGTTGTTCATAAATAAAAAGGAATTTAATTGGTGTTAAATTATTTACTTGAAACTAATGACTTAAATGTGGGAGCGATATTGCGATATACGTACAGTTGTCGATTCGTTGAGACAGTATGTGAAAGTAAACATATATAGAACTACCAAGGAAATACCATAACTTATCTATATTAGAGAATTACATGTGGACAACGATTAAAAATTGAAAAAGCCACAGAACTAACTTCATTCAAAATGTTTCCACATAGATAAATTGTATTTCAACTATGAGAGTAGAGAGTTCTCAACAGTGATTTTTCTGGTTTAAAATTATCTTTGTATAAACTGTGTACAACTAATCGTTTAACTATGTTTTTGAATTTAATTTTTCTATAGATAAGTTTAAGGTTATGAAATATTATCGTTAAAAATTCGGTAGATATCTACGTTAATCATTACTCATGGTCTTAGCTCAGAGAGCCGAGAAACCCCCAAATGCCCTGGTACGGTCGAGAGTGAGGAGATTCCGCTCTCCTTCTCGAAATGCTCTCACATGGCCACGCGTATATAACCTCTGCCAGGGAAGTTCTACTCATCGCCTTCTCGTGGCGGGGGTGTTGTTTACGAAATTGTGAGGACGAAAAGCGGATGTCTGGCGCTTTAACTGGGTTGGTGGACATGGAGAGTCCACGTAGGGGAGTTGGAAAACCCTGATTCCAAATCAATGGTGCACATGACCTCCAGTATCCTGAAAGAACAAATGGTGTATGAACCAATCATTGGTCACCGGCTACCATGGGACTGCATCTCCTTACGATGCTCCACTGCCTTGTGGATCAGACCTTCGGGTCGAAGGCTCCGCGTGTGGCTCCCTAAGAAAACCACCTGCTTCGGTCTGGTCACCCGGGCAGTATCACAGCCCTCACACAAATTAGATTTGTGTGGCGCATATGTATTTGGTGCCTTCTTGTACCAATATCTATGTATTAAAATAAATAAATTAATTAATAACGTTAATCATTGGAATACTCTATAATTTCCCATTCAGTAATCAATAGTTATCTGTTGAGATAATATCCAATCGAAAGATTGTATATTTAGTTGTAATTAATGGTTCGCTGATATTGGAAAATATATTAGGTAAGTGATTATAATATCTAACACCAAAGTCAAAGTGATCCGTAAAAAGTAGTGTCAAACTTTTCTTACAAATTGATAATAAGTATTGGCATAAATTTAGAGTTGTTAAGATTATTAATTGATAAATTATATTAAAAATGAATCATAATTGTGTTTTTTCTCCAGTCTTCTAACTTACAAATTTACAACTTCTCTTTGCAAAATATTCATATCTTTTATTTTCTTCAATTTCATTAAATTTCTTTACTGATAAAGGTTCCATTTGATCGTCTGACATTTCTGCTAGTATCCCGAAGTGAGTATATACTAGAAAATTTGAGAAAAATGGGATTCTTTATTAACCATAATACAGTTCATTTTTTTTTCGAAACAACAAACACATAATTCATTAAGAGGGTTAATATCTCTCATACTTTTGATCATTTAACGAGTGATTGACTACATAATATTTGTGTTAAGTTCCGATAAACGTAATGAATGGGATCCATTTATGGACCAATATTATGCGTATATTTTTATCGTATAATTGTTAAATAACTAAACTATTCATATTCATGTCCCTATTATTAGGAGCTTTATTTTGACATATGAATTATTATTATACGATTTACCATTCTTGAATTATGCTCTGTCTATTAATTAATACCTCCCTCATTCTTAGCCACTCTTGGCCAAATCTTGTAAAAATGTTGTTTCCTATTTTATAGTACGATGTGATCTCTTTGATTGGTATATAAACTTAGTACGTTTGAAATAAAATGATTCGTATTGCAGAGTCTGGGATTGGTGTTCTGGACTTAACTGGCTGGGGTAGGCGGAAAGCAAGATCAATCAGGACTCTAGACTACTCGCACGTGTTTTATGCGTCATTGGACCGATTGATAATTCATTGCTCTCTAATTGGCGGTATCGTTACGTTATACATTAACAGGGCACCCAGGCCACAAGTTATAACAATTTGTTTGTTAAGTAAAACTATAGAAACTATTCCTTCTAAACTGAATGGTGTCAATAGATACCGAATTTTCTTAAAGTATTGCAATCAAGCAAAAAGCAAGGAGATTTTGGTTAACACTGCTTTTTTATGTGATATCTAGTGATCTTATATCAAATCGATTATTATTATTTAGTTTCAATACTTTAACCTTTGGTTAGGTGATAGTACAAAGATTAGTCCGATTAAAAGATAGTTTTAAATTTGGATCTAAGTCAGATTTAAGACACCAATCAAAACAAAAATGCAATGAACAACTTCAATTTAGTTTGTGACATACTATTGGTGCCTAATCATGGAGCTGGATCCAGAATCTTTAGGTTATGGAGTGAGCAGTTCACGTTTAAATGGTTGGTTCAAAAACTAGTTGCCTATATTTTCAGCTTCAACCATTAGTAACGTACTGAAATTATTTATTAATGTCAAGTAGATTCTCATACTGTGGTTCCTAACATAAGTCTACAGTTGTCGAACTGATACTGTTAAGGAAACAACACTTTGATGCAATGTTTGGCTCTTTTAGTAGTGAGGTTGATTATTTTTTTTCAGTAAACTATCAATACTATTAAGTATCGATCAGAACGATGGTGAAGAAATATTGACGTGAGAACTTTACATAGTCATAGCTGTTTATTCATCAAAATGATTATAGTTTAGATTTAAGGTTGAGCAAATAATACGTGATCATTTAGCAGTAAAAAGTATCATTTCGAATAGTTCTAATAAGTAGTAAGTCAGTCTACCCAAAACCGATAATAAATCACTTTCGTGATGGTGGTGATCTGAAGCTATGTCAGCTCCTCTCCTGGTTCTCACATTTTCCATTGTCCTTCGGATTTTTTTATTGATGCAAATATGATCTATCTGGTTCTCTGTAGTGTGGTCCGGTGAGATCCATGTAGCTTTGTGTATACATTTGTGTGGAAATATTGTGACGCCTATGACCAATTTGTTGAATGCACATAGATTTGCAAATCTTTCTCCATTTTCGTTTCTCTGTCCCGGTCCATGTCGTCCCATGATATCTTCATATCCGGTGTTGTCTATTCCAACTTTGGCATTTAGATCTCCCATCAGAATGGTGAGGTCGTTTCTTGGGTACTTCTCTATGATTGACTGCAGCCGCTCGTAGAATTGATCTTTAATGTCGTCGTTGCTATCATTGGTGTGTGCATAACATTGGATAATATTCATTGTGATCCCCTGCTTCTTTGTTTTGGAACGATGCTTTGATGATTCTGGATCCGTGAGATTCCCACCCTACAAGTGCATTTTGTGCTACTTTGGACAGCATTAGAGCAACTCCCTGAGTGTGTGGAGCATTTTTCCTTTTCGTGCTTGGAGTATAGTAGCATCTCTCCTGTAGCTAGCCTTTTCTGTCCAGCTTGGGTCCAGTGGGTTTCGCTGATTTCCAGTATTGCCAAATTGTATTTACTCATTTCTGTTGCTATTAGACTGGTCTTCCCGGTCTCCCACATTGTTCGAACGTTCCATGTACCTACAAAATTTTTTGCTCTGGTTGTTAGAAGGTGCATCGGCCTCGTGGCTTCCGAAGGAACTCGGCTTTGACGATGAAGCTTCATAATTCTTCTAAATGAAGATCTTCTAACTCCCAGGGCAGAGTTAAAATGGTTTGAATTATTTTTTCTGATAAGCGTTTTTTAGCGAGTTAGTTTTCTACAGGATGGTTACGCTAACTCCATACCCAACCCTCCTCCTTTACTGGGACCGGCAGTAATTCTAGAAGAGCTACAGTCGGAGTTCTCAATTTCCCAGTTATACTATAATTAACAAATCGAGTGGAAGATGATAGTGATTTACCTTCATACTAGATAAGATTATAGAGAAGAAATGGAAACTTAAGAAAGGATTTTTAAGATGTAGAATTAACAATTATGGTGTGATTTACTTTGTATTGTTTGTTTGAATCTTCCCATTGATGTTTAAGTCTCTAATTGATCAGTTATTAACATATGTGCATCCTGTGAGGATTACCTTGATATTGTCACAATCATTATAAGCAAAGATTCAAACAAACAATACAAAATAAATTTAAACTTCACTCCATTGTGCAAATTAGTGGCTATCATGACTCAGTGGTTAAGTGGATAGCGCGATGGCGTTTGAAGCAAACGGTAGTGAGTTCGAGTTCCGGAGTAAACATCAACTCTGGAATGCAGGTACGTTTATCTGACAAGTCTTAAATAGGACGAAACGCGCGTCCCGGATTTCACTGCTAGCCACCATCCATCTTTGCTAATTATGATACGAAGTTATGACAACCATAACTTAATTTACATGTTAAAAATATGACTTAATTGTACTTCATCGATAAGTTGGTTTAAACTCTGGGTTTATAATTTATGTAATCATAAGAAATATTATTAGATATCTCAAAGTTCCATAGAAATGTCGACTATATTTTACAAATTAATATAACTTACGCGGAGTATGTGTTTTCACGATTTTGGTACAACTTTGTGGTCCTTCGAAAAGGGTACATGCTTTATTTCTGAAGGCTGCGCTGTGATAAAACTTTCCAATGGTTGTATTTTTTGGCGACACTTTTAAAGATCCTATAGATATAAGTGTGTACGTAAAGTAAAAACCTGATCAATAAAATGTTTTGGTAAATATTTATTCTTTACAAATCGAAAATAATTGAGGATTGAAGTTAGACATTAACACCGTTGGATGCCGGCTCATTGGTCTAATGGTTAAGTGCTTGCGCGCGAAACTAGTAGGCCCTAAGGTCGAATCCCACGGGTTGCGGGATCGTGGACGCGCACTGCTGGGGAGTCCCATACTAGGAAGAAACGGCCGTCCAGTGCTCCCAAGTTTTCCATGGTGGTCTAGCTTCAATTGACTCATGATTTCAACCAGTGAAATTAAGGAACTGCCTATCTCAACATTCGTGAAAAAGCACGAATATTGGTTGAATTGTAAATACAACAATTTTTTACATTTATTAGTAGGCGTAGGAAAAACTATATACATTCAGACTACTCTTTTGTTTTTAAGTGTCTCTTTCCATAATATTTAAATTCATTATTAAATCATTTAACACATTGAACACAACACTTAGGTCATTAAATTGATTTCAGTCATAATTGTGATATTCGATCACCAAGTTCAATGCGGAATATAAGCATGATTACCAAAACTTGATTTAAACTTTCCATGTCAAATAGGTTACTGGGAAAAAACGGTAGGATATTAGTTGATTATATCTGTAAAAACTATAATGATGCACCAAATACATAGTGATACACGAATATTGTTAATTGTAAGATGTATTCATACGTTTGATTTCCAAATAGAATCAGATAATAATTTGGAGTTAGTTACAAATTAATTAGAATTATAGATCGTAATAATCGACAAGTCAGTATTATAGATGCGCACCTCTGAGAATTCCATACTGTGATGAAAAGGCCATTAAGTGCTTCCAGTTTTTCAGTACTGGTCTAATTAAGATCAGTTCATGATTTCTACGAAATTCAACAATCTCTACAACTCCATACCGAAAAATAATATCATCTTAAAATTTTCAATCGAATTATATCGATTACTAAGTCTCATTCATAATTAATATCAAATAATGATCATTTTACATTTAGAACAGATAGTTACCTGAAGTCAACTGTTTACTACTTGAGTCAGTGCGAACGGACAACATACCGATCATTTGATGTCCAAGTATGTAATAGAATAAGATAGCAAGATAAAACTTCATAATTAGTTTCTTATAAAGGTTTTTTTTCAGTAAATATGGGTATCGTTTAGTCACCTATTTGAGAATAACGAGGAATAAGTAAAAAAAAGAGAGAAATGGTTTAATTTATTCAAACAAATTCATATTTAGTTAAATACATCAAAAGTTAATGTAATGTCAAAATTTACAGCAACATTATATGAACCCAATTTAATATCATTAAATTCTTCTTTTATATTTAATTTTATGACAATGTAATAGACTAATATCCCTATATAGGGATGTGGCTAGTGACACTCTGAAATATAGATTAACCAAAGTAATCACCAGGACATTCTACGCAGCCAATCTGGCGTTGACCTTCTCTTGTCGACCAGCGATGTCTACTCAGACGAAGGATAAGTTACCTGAGTTGGCCTCTTCCATGTGCATTTACAAATTCAGCTGCTCCTGTGGAGATAGCTATATAGGGCGTACTACCAGGCAACTTAACCAACGAATGAGTGAACATCTACCAACTTGGTACATAAAGGGCCAGAGGAAATCTATTCGGAGTTCTATATTGGCACATCTTATTGATAGCGGTCATGCAGTAGATAAATCGAAATCTTTTCGAGTTATCTATCGTATACCTCCATCATTTCCCGACGGAGTCCGTTCCCGTCTCCTATATATAGCTGAAGCCATTGGAATTCGTACATATAACCCCAATTTATGTGTACAGAAGAAATACGTGACCCCCCTATCCCTTCCATGGCCAGTTATAACTTAACTAATAATTCTTTTTATTTATTTATTTTATTTTATTATTATCCTTATTCATTTTATTTTATTTGTGTTATCATTGACCTTATTTTCACATCCATTATTTGTTTGTAATTTTCCGCCTCTTTGTATTCTTCACTATCTAATTATTTACACACATCTTATTACGTAATGATTTTAATGTTTTGTGATTACTATTCCTAGTCTATTTACCCATGTTTATTTGACCTTCTATTTCCAACGTTTAATTATTGATAAGAGTTTTGTTATTGTATTTTATTATTCTCACTATTATCAGTTCACCTGTCTTCCTACTATCAACTTGTACTTTTACCTAGAGACTTATTTTATTTCATTGTGATTATTGACTCATATTGCCTTGATTGGTTTAACATTTTCGTATAAATATTCATGTATATTAGAGTAAAGCCTGATGACGATCTAATTGAAAACAATTGTTCGCTTATATGTGTTGTTCTAATATTTTAGTATTACTTCATCCATTTTCAGTATCGGGTTGTGGAGATATTATGTTTTTTATTGAGATCATGAACTGATTGATGTTAGACCACCATTGACGACCTGGAAGCACTAGACGGCCGTTTCGTCCTATTGTAGGACTCCTCAACAGTGCACATCCAGGATCCATGTTATTTGTCATATATTGTTCTCCTAGAATTATAGGTCCCTATTATAATATCTATTGTGAAAAAGATTAGCTATCCATGACTCGTTTATATTATTCAATGCTGTTCATTCTTTTTTATTGTATAAATTTTATATATATTTCTTTAATAATAGTGTGATTGTTCTCTATAGTACTAACTTAAATAGTAATGCTTTAAAAATGAAGGAAGAAATGATCAATGCGTGATTATCGCATAGCTCATAATGTAATACTTAAATATAAATACGATTGTACATGATTGAAAATGAATCCATTATAAACATAGTGGCCTGCTTGAATCTCTGGACTACTTGTTTCTGCCATCTAAATATTTCAACAAGTCATTTGTTTTTTATTTTGTTTTAATACCTCATTATGTCTATTAATCGCATACCCTATACAGGTGCGTTTATGAAAAGCTTAAAACCTTTCGCTGCACAATTTACAAAAATGTACAATAAGAGACATCGTGGTGGTTGACAATAAGCACTGAAGAGAATGAACATTAATCGTATGACGATTCCCGAGCTGCTGTATTTTAACTGTCCATCACTAATTAATAAGGTGGACTATGTTCAATTCTTACTAAGTCAAAAGATGTATCGTAATTATGGTGTCATCGCAATTCAGGAATCTTGAAAAAATTTGTTTAGATGAATTAATTGTCTCATGATTTAATCGGTATTTCCAAATGTTAAAAAATTTATTGATCAATGGCATAATTCTCAATAAACTGATAATTACGTTAATGAAGATCATAGTGATTTAATTAATTAGATAATATTCACGGCAGTTCTTCAGTCTTAAATAACAAAATACAATACCTTGAATGTTCTACATTTAGTTTGCTTTACAATGTCTTACAGTTAGTTATATTATAATAAAGTTATAATTACATATTTCATGCAAGTAATTAGTAACATATATGATTCCTATTATTCATATAACCTTTCTTGTATTTACTTTTAAACTTGCATTCTTAATACTGTTGGAATTCTTGGTACTTTCAGAATTTATTCTTTATACTGTAACTAATACTTAAAAAGTTGATTTTTATGATGATCTAGAATCAACTACTAATAGAAGGTATTTAAAAATAGGTCAAATAATTTTTGTTCATCAAGGTGTTTTTGTTTATTATTGTTATAATACGAATAATCTGTCTAGTAGGTAAGTGAACGTTGGTGATATCGACTCAAAAAAAAATAAGTAAGCGTTATTTTTCAGAACAAAACAACATTATAATCAGACATATATTCACTGTTTTGGCAAGAGAATGGAAGTTACAAACTTTTGAATACTTTAATGTCTAGTTATTAGTTTCACCACTTAGTTAATCACTAAATCGGTTAAATCCACAAGGTTAGTTATTTAAGCGGGAATTTGTTAGGATGTGCAGGAAAATATACCAATAGTTATCATGTTAAGTCTAATGTTGTCCTTGGACGTCTAGTGGGGATTCTGCTTTCAACAAATACTGTAATTCTTTGACTTTGGTAACCAGTTGTTCTCCTTATTACCTTAGTCATGTTATCTCGTTCGTCTATTTCAACCAACTGGGGGATAGTCCTTTTAAAAGGATGTTTGAAAAAAATGCTAAAGACATCCTTTTCTTTATAATAAGAAAGATTTACACGGTATACTTCATTACGTGTATTCCCAAAAGCTATGTCCTTTGTGCTCTCCAGCGAAAGTTATATTCTGCCAATTACTGACGTACGTGGTAATAAAAGTCAAATGACCAGGTTTTATTTAATATTACGTAGATGAATAAGTAATGAACACGTCCCACCCATCCATCACACTGTTTTTCTAGGAAGGTCTTCCGAAATAGAGGGTAAATCGAACATATTTCACAACATTAAAAAGGTTATTCTTCCTTTCAGTGCTCACCTTCATTAACACGCGCCATTTCGACAACTGCTCTTAATAATGTGCACTCTGGGTGCCTCTTTCCCACTCTCCATTTTAATAGTCGTCCCTATTGGTGTAAACCCTACATTCCACTTAGAATCGAATTCAATTCTTTATCTTATTTTACTGTTATTAGCACAAATGTATCATTACTTCATTATTACTATTATTAGTATTCATATTGTTATTACTATTATCCCTACAACAGCTCTTGTTCTTCTTATTTTAATCTAATATTATGAATCATAACTTTTAGAAAAATGCAAAATCGACCACGATGTTAGGACGAGTAAAGCCCATAAAGTTAGTCTGAATGACTAAAAATTTTATTGTCCGTGATTAGAATCACCTAACTGTCAGTTAGTTTTTGTTGATGTAATGACTCAATTATTAAAATAATACGTATATAGTAATATATACTCTAATTAAAAACTCTATTAAGATTATACGTCTCAAGAACATTAATTTTCACTAATCACTAATAAGATTGATGTAATTCAAACATTTTATAAGTAACTGACTACTGGTTCCGGTTCATAAATACAAAAGAGGACTAATTCAAAATAATTAAATGATAGCCAAAAATTGGTTAATGGTAGGTAAAGTAATCAGTTACTTTCTTAGTGAACTAACTTTAAATAAAGATAACAAAAATACAATGAGCATTTTAGATTACTCTATTCATCAAGTAAAAAAAATTAATCGTACATAAGTAATCTCAATGTAGGTATCATATTCTATTGTTCAAATATTAACTGAACAAAAGATGGAATATTCTCTTAATGATTCCTTAACTTTAATGAAGTATAGTCAATTAAATCGTTTAAGAATGTCATCAAAAGCTGTTTTTTCATCATGATGATGCTTTATTGAATTTGATGAAATCAAACAAAATTGAATTTCGATGATACAACATCATTGTATGCATTACATAATGAAGATAGAAATTTAATAAACTTGAACAAGTAATATATGCATAATTTACTAAATAATCTATCTAATTCATATTCTTCTACCATCTAATTCATTCTTAGAAAACTGTCAATCATGTTTACTTTCTATTAAGATTTTTTTTATATATAATTTTAATAGAAATAAATAATCTTTATACTGATTAGTTATTTTAAAGTTGATTCAATTAAGTGAAATTATTTGATGAATTTGAATTAAGGGATTTATTGTTACCTATTTGTTTCATTTATCATCATATTTATGTTTCTTTATTATTGTATTCCTTTAAAATATTGATTATGTTCCGCTTTGAAATTGATCAAATGATATATATATAACATTTGGATCTTAATATATTTAATGTAAGAATATTCATTTGTGAAAGAAATCACTGATAGGTATTTTATGGCTTTATACTCAAACTAAAATAAACAGTTGAATGAAACTTAATCAACTAACTTTTTTCATCAGAAATTCTTTTTTTTTTAAATTTTTATTTTATCAATGTAGATATTTTACTCAAGGTCAGGATTTTCAATACAAATGTCAAGAATGTTCTACTGTATGGGGTAGAAACCTGGAGAACTACGAAAGCCATCATACAGAAAATACAGGTGTTTATTGACAGTTGTCTACGCAAAATACTTCGGATCTGTTGGTCGGACACTATTAGCAACAAACTACTGTGGGAGAGAACAAACCAGATTCCAGCGGAGGAAGAAAT